AGATGATATTAAAAAATGTGTTGAAGCTCGAAAAGACGATCCATTATTTTGTGTACGTGACATTGGAATTTTTAATGAAACGTACAACGCATATTACAAATTTGATCTAAAATATTTGATTGGCCAAGAATTGTGTGATATTGATGGCGGTACGATAATTAAACAGTCAAATACCGCTAATCAACCGATGAAATTAAAAGTTATTTGGGCAAAGAATAATAATAATAATAGCAATCAAAAAACAATCGAACAAAACACCAGTCAAATATCATATGAAGAAGATTTGAGTGAATTCAATTATATCATATTTTAGAATATATGTTGTCTTAATTTTTTTTTTTTAGTTGTCGATCATACTTCATTAAATTCTACAGCAGTGACACTACTTCAAAGTGCGTATATTAAACATCTTATTTGCATACAAACTTAAATTGATATTTCAGATGTAGTACAAACAGAAAGACAACAACTGTCTTCTAAAGTTATTCAAAATTTCCAACGGCAACGTATTGCAATTCTGATATGTTCTCTTTCTTTTTCACTTATCTTTTCGTTCAGATTTCGATCCATGTAACTACTCTCTAATTGATACAATCAATGATGTATCTAGCGGTTCTTCTTCTGCTCTGGATCCATTCAGCATGCCAAACGGTGAAACGAGTTTATCTCACACAAATCAAAGTCTTGTTTTTGATGATCCAGTGAATTGTGCTGATGAATGTATGAGAGAATTTTTGGGTAAGACGAAAGAACAAAAATTTTGTTTTTAATCAAACTGAACACATTTATTCAGCTACGTTTCCCAATAATATTCAAACTGCCAATCTTTTGGGTAAGTTCCACTGTTTAATGTTAACTAGTCATTGAAAAATTAAACATATACCATGATTTGGTTTCTATTTGATATAAATTTTAAAAATCTTATTAAGTAATTCGAATCTTCTATATAAATAGATGTTTCTTTTTTGGAAACATCAATAGTTGATATATAATTTTTAAATTAAAATTCACTACTGAACATATTTATGTTTATAGAATGTTAAAGATACAATTTTTTGATGGAATTAGCTGCTAAATGAAGTCAAAGTAAATGAAATGTAAACACATAAAATATCTGTGTGTGAGACTCAATGTGGTTAGATAGAAGGAACGCAATCTTGATTATACGAAGAAATCAAGAAGAAAAATAAATTTGAATTCTGAATCCATAATTTGATATTGAATAAAATCGAGATCCATCAGTTTTCTGTAGAAAACTATTATTGGAGTTTTAAGAAAAAAAAGGCTATTGGGTAAAATGCTGTTAGCTCTATGATGAGGGATGACACTATAAAGCTAAACTATACTATGTATATATATATATATATATATATATATATATAGTAGCATACATACATGAATGAATATGCAGCCGAATGGATGAATATGTATGTGTATGTAAATAACACGTGTATTGTGATACAAACAATAAGAGTACAACTACACGTAACAAGAAGTACGATCAGAACGAATAATGAAAACAAAGAATCACCAGGATGACGAGAATAGAAAAAGGAAAAAGATGTGAATGGAACAACATGTATATATAGTGTACACGGTACACACATCGAGCACACGCTGATCACACAAGTGGTCACGCAACAAATGACGTCATGTCATAATCATATACTAGCTTAGCGTTAGTGTATATTCACTAACGCTAACAAATGCTTATAACTTTTGAAGAGAAGACAGTAGACACCTCTGGTTTTCATCGTTGAATAGAGCCTGATATGGCACGTAACAGTATGGAAAAACCAGACCACCAGACACAGTTTATCCTGTTTATGTTCAAATTCAAACTTGTTGAGGCTTCCATATTTTAAAAGTATGTTCAGTTTTGATTTTCTAACAATTAAATCGATAGATTAGATCAAGATGTAAAATCCTTAATTAATCTCAAGTCTGTATCTTTTACAGCTCAAGATTTATATATTCATTATACGGGTAGTTTCTATCTAGTTTTTCAATAAATTTTCGAAAATAAAACATTTATTTTTACATTTCTTTGTAAAAACGGATAATTTGTTCAACTTGTTAATACATCGTTTTTTTTCATATTCAACAGTAAAAATCGCAGGTCTCTACCACCTTCTCTTCAAAAATTATAAATATTTTACCTACTAGGCTTTTTTTTAAAATTCCGATAGTAATTACTAATAAAGATAGACACTTGCGTTTGACAATAGGCGACATATACCGTACTTGATTTTTTATTACAAAATGATATCAACGCAAGTAAGACATTATTTGGGTAACAATAAAAAGTCATTGTTACTTTATTGGATCGATGATATCAATAGAGTTTTATTGTTAAGTACTAATTGATAGTAACTGCTTCCAATTATTCATATGATATACAGGAATTGATTAGGAATATTAGTGTTAATTGTTATTTCATATTTTCTTACAGATACTAAGTATATGAAAAATTATAAATCTGTTCAATATAATGTAGAGAATATTACAAGTAAGGTTCATCGACTTTAAAAGTCGATTCACTGGGCCCCAGACTGAGCGAATGATGCTAAGGATGTGGTTAGATTTTTGCATAAGAATGAATTCTTTAGAATAAGGTTTTTGAAAGAAACGAACAATATGTGAGAGGTGCTACGTATTATTTAGCACAAATATATTCGGATTGTTGGTTTAAAATATAAAAAAATGGTATTTTTTGTATAACAAATGTACTCTGGAAATGATCATTTCTGCCATTAAAATGGTCATTTGTGACATGGAAATAATCATTTATGCCATAGAAATAGTCCTTTGTGTGGAGCGCTTGTTACAGACAGACAGACGGACAAACAGGCACAGGTGAATTACGGTTTCTAGACCCTAGCGTTTCAATCTAGGGAACAAAAAAATATTGAATGAAATATATAACATAAGAGTAGTGAGGTTGAGTTCATTTATTGACATAATAGTATTCAAAAGTAAGAAAGTTTAGAAACTTTCATCGCTTGAGAAGTCACTAAATGAAGCACTATGTCGCATGATAATGTTTCACAAGCTGAAATATTGGATAGTTTGTTCCTTGGCTATTAAACAATATTATTTCAAATTATTTAAATAAGAATATTCGCTTGAGAGATAAGAAATGCCTATAACTTAGCTTTCTACTTTTTTCAAATCGAAGAAGAAATTTTTCGTTTTTTTTTTGTTTAGAGGAGTTTCATCAGGTCATTGCAACATCTCCTACTACGATGATAGGTGAAACGAACACTTCATCCTCGACAAACCTGATGAATAACGACCAATTTCGTAAATCTTCTGTTTTGTCTGTATCAGAACGTAATTCAAATAGTGGTATGCCATTTGTATTTTAATTTGTATTGATAATTTCTTTTCATTTTTTAGAGTTTTATACAAATACCGAATCTGATCCACAAATATCAAATTCAAAGAAATATCCATCGGATATCAATGTCGACAATACTTCATCATCAATTACATCATTACCATTTTCAAATCAATCAACAGGTGAGTTACTAAGAAAAACAAAGGTCGTTTTCTTTAGTTAACAGATTGTTTTCTGAATGGAAAATACATATATCACAAAAATTGGACAATTTTCAACGATTAATAGCAATGAATTGTATTGCATCAAACAAAATCACTTATTAGTTACTGTTATGAAGCAGTAATTCTCTCGATTTCTTTTCTTGACTTTCAGTGTATGAGTAGAGTGTACGATTAAAAAAAGGAGAAGACTTCTGTGGACATTCAATTCTTTCAGACAGAGCTATTAATAATTAGATGTACATGTGATTTTCTTTCCTATTGAAAATAAGTTTTGCATTTTCAAAAGCATTTTAATTCCTTACATCTACTATGTTTTAGGTGTTCAAGAAAAGACTGTCTCCTCTGTATGCCTGCATTCTTTAAAGAAACGCGAACATATATTTATACATTTCAATGTTTTTTGTTCGTGTTGTAATGGTTACTATAGTCATTATAGAAGAAAGAATGGTTATAGGAAAAAAAACCGAGATCTGATATTTAAGAATTGATCTTAACAATCTCCTTAACATAGATTTATTCAGTTAAAAAACTTAATAATAGTATATAGAGAAGAATAGTGCTTATATATTGTGTTATTGTATGTTCTACATATGCATCCGACTTCGAACTAACTTGTCTAAAGTACATTCGTAAATCTTGCTAAAAGTCTTTAACATAGGATGCTCAATATGCTTGCATCTTTTTGAAAAAAAAACATTTGCATGCATTCAAAAATGTTATTTTTTATGGAAAGTACCATTTTCATGAGTTTAGTATATCAATTTTAAATATTGTTTAATCTGGAAATGTACACGCCGAATTTAGACACTTCTCATGTCTTTCTAGATTCTCTTATCGACGCAATTTTCTAATGAGAGTTGAAGATATATGATATACCAAAAAAATGATACTATTAGTACACTTCGTCGAACTCTTTTTGTCGTATATACAGGGAATAAAGTGTATTAATTGAATTAACTGATGTTGTTCAATGTGCTATTCAATTAATCATATAAATGTATACTTCAGTATACAACAATTAAACATATATGATGAATTGAAAATATACTTCAAGGAAAAAGATATAGCTCTTGAAAAATTGTATAAAAATACTTCAACTACAGTACAAACTACCTGCTAGAAAATGAGAATCCGCTGAAGTGTCCTATGGATATGATTTTTATGGAAATTTTATTCTAAGAAAGGCTAAGCAACTATGAAGATGAAATTCTCTTTCCTTTTCTGTATGCTCTATTAAGTCTTTTCTGAGGTGATTTTCTCTGATTTGCAAACCTATGAGATCAATTAGTAAAGCGATTTTGAAAATTTTCAAAAGAAATTCTAGATTTTCGATGTTGCCAATGCTCAAAAAAACAATCTTATCCAATTCTAAAACATTCGACTATCCTTTATATAGAACTATTTTAGAGGCATTCATTTTTTAAAATAAATTATTACATTTAGAAATTGTTTTTAAATCTTAATTTAATAAATTTGACTTATTTCAAGCGGAAAATTTTTATTTGAAAAAATTACTTTATTTTAAAATACAAATAAAAATTTTAGTTTTCATTAAATTCTAAGTATAAATTTTTTGAATTTTATTTTTAGTACAATTTTTATGTGGATTAATTTAAATTTAAAATAAATATGCTGTGTATCGACATTTTCTCTATTTCTTGAAAAAATTTGTATTATCCGAAAAGTCTTGATACATTAGAGAAACATTTTTTTGAGATGATTAATGAAACAAGTCGCATAATTCTATTAATACACGTTTTTTCTTTATATGTGACGAAGTGATCGTGCGACAACATGTCGTTCGACGATGTGATCGGTCATCCGAAAAAAATTAGACGCATCTTTACTTCTAACTAAATCAGTTGATTAATCTTCTGATTTTACCAGTGAAAATTCTAATGAGAAAGTTGTTGATAGCTCTAATTACAATATCTTTAGTTTTTCTTAAATTAGTTCTCAATTAGCCGGAAAAAACGAGAAAAAAATGAATCGCTCAAGTCCAAATTCGTTTCTGATTCTTTTTTCCTCTCTGCTTTCGATAGCTTTCCTTTGAGTAATAAGTTCTTTTTTGTGTACTCAAAAAGTGAGTACACTCTAGAATCGGTCAGTGTGTCCGTCCGGCCGTTTACACGATAACTTTTGAAAGGAGAGTCCGATCGCGATGAAATTTTCTACACAGTTTAGTCTTAACAATATCTCGGTCGAGTTCGAAGATGAGAAGGATCCGTCAAGAAATGGCTGAGTTATCAAAAAAATTGTGATTTTT